CCCCCGCCCACATCTGCAAAAAAATGAATAAAAATATATGTTTAAGAGGATTGAACAACTTTTGAAGCTAAACAGTCACAACTTTGATATTAGACAGAATTTGTAAACTCGAGGAGACGATATCATTTTCAGGGCTGAAATACCGAAGAAACAATTGATCCCTCTGGTGATCTGTTTAAAACCTATGTAGAAGATAAAAGGGTCTCCTTTGCCACCATCGAAGATAAATTGAAAAATCTACAGAACTCGACACCCCTCGGTCTCCCCCCCTGTAAACGGAACTTGTACACATTGTACACTGTACTTCTGTCACACCTCAAAGTGTACACAATATAACTGTACGCTCACTTTATCAAAAGTCTACTCGCAACCATGAATCAAAGAAGATCTCAAATCAAGGATATGTCCCAGGAGGGAGTGAAGTCCAAGATGTTCTCGGTTATTGGAAGAAGGACTCAGCTAAAGAACACCGAGATTACGCAGTGAATGTGTGTACTGTGTAGTTTTGTTTCTAAACTTCTTTAAATTTAATCATGTTATTATAATGTACTAAACTTTCTTTTGATCAGATTGAACCAGACTTAAACTAAATATTCTGCGTGCAATTTTTATGTAAAAGATTTCGTCACAAAAAGAATTCAAAATCACCTTTTTTTAAGCTGAACTAGATTTTACAATCTGATAGTTTACCTGTCCGTGTTAGATTTTCCCAACCCCGGAGTCATATCAGGATACTTATCCCAGACCGGATCCTGCTCCATGTACATGTCTGAGTACAGATCCAGGTGGGGAGAAGGAGTTCTGTATAAGTTCTCAAAATCTAAATCCCTAAATAAGTGGTTTTTTATTAAAAATGGAGGTGAAGATTTAAGTATTTTGTTTTTCCTCTCCATTCCACAACCATTTAACAGGAACTTGAAGATATTAAAACAAAAATGTAAAACATATGTTAGACAGATCTAAGACAGATTATTGTGGAAAGCCCAGAAATTACTAACAATAGTATTTAACCTGAAGTAAGGATGAGATTTTATCGATTTGTAGCAAACATGATCACAGATATCCGTAAACCCTAATCTCTTCTCTGGTTCTAGGGTTAGTAACCGCTTTACCAAATCAGCGCCCTTCAAAACAAAAAGTAAATGAAACCCTAATTTAAAAATATTTAAACTTTTAAAATGGACTGTAACCGTAATTTAAGTGACCCTCCATGCGAAGATGGAAATGTCCGATTTGCAACGGTACCCTTGAAATACGCTGGTCACTTACGTAGAGAAGCCCCAATTGAAAACAATCGTTAACTAAAATTATAAACATTGATTTCTAATTCATACTAAATCAGACAAAACTTTTAAAGGTACCGTTGTGAATCGGGCCTTGCATTCTTTTTATGAAGGGTCACTGGAAATTACGCTAATCACAGTCCCTTTAATTTATCTTTTTAATGGTTAACCCTACCCGTCTTACCTCTGAGTTAAATTGATCGGGAAAGCTGTATTCTAGTTTTAAAATCTTCTGGAATATTAGATACTCGGACCCTGATTAAACATAATATTCGATACAAAGTTTCGTTTGTCAAAACTACCAAAAAAGGTTATTTTTGTTTTTTGAAAGTTTTTAAAGAAACTTACACTTATAGTTCAACTAAAAAGATTTTTAATTACATTTATTTCTAATAATAAATTGATCAAATTTCCCCCAAATTAAGCTATCAAAATTCTTGCTTAAGAAAACAGCATTGGAAAAAAGACTACATTTATTTTTAGGTATTGTTCAATCTATATAATAAAACAAGACATTCATTTATATATATATATATATTTATATTCAGGGTGAGTCAAAAAAAAGTGATTTGCGACGCCTGGTGCAAAATTGTACCTTTTTTGTGCAACTCTCCTGTATGGTTTTTTTCAATATTTTTTGGAAACTTTTAATTTTTTTTGGTATTCCAATGGCTCAAAAAATGTGTACATAAATTATTTCAATCGTAATCTAAAATTTTAAAAAGATTAATTAAATTCTTTTTTTCCTTTCTTCTGAGAATATTCTTAAGTTTTAAATATATGCTGTACAGTTGAAACCTGAAGAGCCATCGAAAAACAACTTTTCCTTAAAAATTAGGCTATAACTGAAAATTGCAAATTTTCTCATTACATTTTAGCGAATTTTCTGCGATTCAATCTTTATAAAATTTTAGATTTCGATTGAAATAATTTATGTACACATTTTTTCTTTTCTGAACTTTTGATTTTGAGAGAAAAAAATGCTCACAGATTTTTTTAATCCAGTAAGTTTCCTAAATATATACTAGCTTGAGAACCCAGCGTCCCGCCGTTTACCCGCGCTTGGTCGTAAATTAAGATTTTAGATATTTCTTCCTATAAAGTTAACCCACTCAATTCAAAATCTCAAAACCAAGCTAAGAACATTCCAGTGGCAAATCTGTCAAGGGGTCCCTAACTCCTAAGACATTCTAAGTCTTTTTCTTCTAAGGTGCTTCAGAGAAGTTCTGGTGGAATTGAGTAAATATTTAAATGTTTTTAACCTGATTGGAAAGGAGGAGATCCAGATTCCATCTGGTAAATTATACACCCTGCAGCCCATAGATCAGAGGCTGGGCTGCAACCTAATATTTAACAGTAGATTGTTTACACAAAACAATGGCGTGATTTTAGGTAATTTTAGTTTTTGTTCTGTGGTAATTCTGGATCTTAATTACTAAATAACAAAAAGAAAGTTTTTTCCTCCTTGTCGATACTTTTAATAATAAAAACATTTATTTTCACCTAAAATTCATCTCCCCTTCAAGCATGATTTTTAAAGAAAATACACACCTCTTGTTGCAAACAAAAGCATTAAAAAAACTGCCTGAAAAGTTCGATGTTTACCTTTGCTTGTAAGCATCTCTGGACTAACATACTGTGCAGTTCCGACAAAACTAGATCTTCTATTTACTGTTATCTCCTCCTCTACTCTATCAACCTTAATGGGACTGTTAATGAAATATCATGTGACCCTTCAATTTAAACTGCCAGAACGATCCTCACATCACATCGGTACAATGACGATTGGCGATTGACAATGTCCACTCGCACTTCTTTAATTTCAGATTATATTTTTTATTGTTACCTTCACAATAACTAAGTAAATCGCAATTCTAGGAATAAATCTTGGTTCGAATCAAGCAAGGTATGAATCAGGGCATTGATTAAGTCATGGAATAAGGTTTGGATTGAAGCAGTTTGCTTAAATCCAAACATTTTGATCCGGATCCTTGATTCGACCAAAAAAATTGATCCGGATCAGGATCAATTTTACTTTTAGACTGAAACTTAATGAGCCATTCAGAGATTAGGATGTTTTTAATAATCTCTCATAAGTTAGCACTTTAGATTTTAATTTTTAAAGCAAAAAGTTTATTTCTATCATGTTTTGTTGAAATTTAACCCCTTAGTTCCGGATCCGTGGATCCGCATATTTTTGCGGATTCGGATCCGGATCCAGGAAGTTAAATTAGTGTGGATCCATCGATCAGGATCCTTAGCACAGGATTGAAAAAGGCATGATTTAAGATTTTAATCAAGGCGTCTCAATGTATTCAATAAGGAAACAGTAAATGTGATATTCTCTACCTCCTCTTTCCGAAGAATCATCCCACTACCGAAGTCTGTGAGTAGAATATGCATATCCCTGGTTAGAAGAAGGTTTTCAGGTTTTAAATCACGATGAACGATTCCTAGAAAATTATTCGGGTTGAAAAAACAAAACCAATAAGAACTTTCTGTTAAAGTAAGAAATGATACTGGAGATTTTAGAACGTGACTAATTAGTATTTATCATCTTTCTTATCGTAACCTAGTCTGGAAACGTTCAATCACGGTAGGTTGGTATTGAATTATAAGTGTATAGATTGAAGGGACGAGATTTTCGAAATATTAAAATTAACATCTCCAAGCATTTCCAGTGTTAAATAATTGTACACAATGTACAGTGTAACTGTACAGTGTACACTGTACATAGGGAATAGAAAACTTATTTGCAATTTCTCGAGAAACGATGAAAAAAGTTTATCCTAGAAAGATTTAAAGTTTATAGATTTATCTCTAAAATAAAATTACAAATTCATTTTAACATCAAAAAAAAAATCCCCCACTGTCATGCTTGGAGCGGACTCGTGCATGGGGCGGACTCTCCTTAAAGTTTTAAACATTTCAAAACGTCCATGATAATACCATTCACGAAGTCAAAAATGAAAACCACGACTCCTTGTAACATCAAAAATTCGATGGGGTTTAAAGCTAAAACTGGTATACTCATCATGAATTATTCTTACGTCGTAAACTTCGTTTTTAAAATAAATAAAAGAGTAAATTTATGCGCAATTAGTTTAAGCAAATACAATTTTGAGAGACAACAACCAACAATGAATATAAACCCCTGTATATTCACATTAAGTACAATATTTATCAATACTTAGAACCGAATATTTGCCTATATTATGAAGATGTTCCAGAGCTTGAATTAATTCTCCAGAGTAGAACCGAGATACATTGATTCCTATCATCAAATAATCAATATGATATAATCAAATCAAATTATCAATTATGATATAATCAATCAAACAATCAGTTATGATTTAATCAATCAAATAAAAAATTATGTATATAATCAAATCAAATTCAATTTTGATATAATTAATCAAATATGCTATTATCAATCAAATAAACAATTATATATAATCAAATCAAATAATCAAATATGATAAAATCAATCAATAATTTGTTAATAATATAAGCAAATCAAATATTTATTAACGATATAACCAAATAGATGATCAAATATGATAAAATCAATAAAATAATCAAACATGGAATAATAAATCAAATATGGTATAATCAATGAAATAATCGAACATGATATAATCAATCTTTCGTTCTTTAAGCAATCATAATTTTTTTATCATAAAAACTAATTGATCAATTTATATAAAAAATTTAATGACTTTTAATTTCAGAACTAAATATTACGATTTGAAAAACTTGCTACATAAATTCTAACCTTTTTTAAAAGCTCTTTTGAGGAATGTAAAGAAATCGCCACGTTCAGCATAGGTTAAAATAAAATATAAACTCTCCTCATCCTGAAATATTAAGATTAAAAAAAAAGAAATAAATAATCTCGATTTCCCCCAATTAATTAACGCCGCGTTAACGCTTTGAAGGTTTCTTACATAATGAACTGGGATAATGATATGTTAGGAAAGTTAAGTGGTTCAGTCGCTGAATTGTGGAAAATAAATGATTTTAAGAGGAAATCAAATGAATATTTGGGTAAAAAAAGAAACGAAGGAGAAAAAAACTAAAAGGTTGATTCATTAAAGTACAAAAAGAACATGCAATTTCCCGGCAGTTATTTAAAATATTAACAACTTTAGATTCTGATTCTAATTATCTATGTTAGAAAGGGTTTCTATTAACCTGGAATGACGTGATGAGCTTGACAAAGAAAGGTGCACGAGGATTCCATTTATCCTGTCCACAACGAACCAGTTTTATTTGAAATTAAATTTAAACTTTACTAATTATTCATTAAGGAAAAATTTCATTAGAGACTGATTGGGACTGTCGGCGTAATTTTAAGTAAAAATTTAAGCAGAAAAAGAACAATAAAGCTAATATATTAATTGTCACATCTTTGTGACCTTTGCAATGTCAATAAACCTTATTTTTAATATTATGAAAGAAAACCACTGTTCCTTAACAAGAACTAATATCTCCTTCTCCCTCATAACAGCAGAACTCTTTTTCTCTCTTAACAAAAAAATACATGGTTATCAACAAATGAAGACCTAAAAGCAATCTGTAGACAAAATTCAGTTTACTGCCCTGCATATTGTATTTAAATTATATAATTGATTAATAATTTGGCAACGTGAGAAACAATATTACAGTTGAAGTAAACCAAGAATGAAAGATTAATGACTGGATACATTCTGTACAGTCGATCCAGAAGTCTCAAGTATAGTTATCACATTTTATACAAAAGATGAGATATTTTGTACAAAAATGAGATATTTTACCTTAGAATAAAACTTTTGTTACACGTCTTCGCTGCGTATTCTTTATTTTGAAGAACATCTTTCACTAGATAAACTGTGGAAAAGGAACCTAAAACATTTTCATAATTTCTCCAGCAGTCTAACAAAGTCATGGCAGACTCACTGCTTCGACAGATCATCTCACTCTGACTCAATGACTCCAGTTTACAACTCACATAAACTCAACTTCATGCATGGATAAACCTCATTTAAACTCAACTCCAGTTTACCATGCTCATTTAAACTCAACTCCAGTTAACCACTCGCTTAAACTCAACTCCATAAAACCACTCACTTGAACTCCAATCCAGTAATAACCACTCTTTTAAACTCAACTCCAGTTAACTTCTCACGTAAACTCAACTCCAGTTAACCACTCACTTTATGAACTCCAACTCCAGTTAACCACTCACTTAAACTCAACTCCGGTTAACTTCTCACTTAAACTCAACTCCAGTTAAATACTCACTCAAACTTAACTCCAGTTAACCACTCAATTAAACTCAACTTTGGTTACTACTCACTTAAACTCAACTCTAGTTAACTACTCACTCACGTTTAACTCCAGTTAACCACTCAATTAAATTAAATTCCAGTTAATCAACTCCAGTTAACCACTCGCTTAGACTCAACTCCAGTTAGCAACTAATTTAAACTCAACTACAGTTATACCTACTCACTTAAATTCAACTCCAGTATATATAAACACTCATTTAAACTAAACTCCAGTCAACCATCCCTTTCTAAACTCAACTCCAGTTATCAACTCACTTAACCTCAACTCCAGTTAACTACTGACTTAAATTTAACTTCACTTAACCACTCGCATAAACTTAAATCCAGTTAACTACTTATTTAAACTCAACTCAAATTAACTACTGACTTAACTCAACTTCAGGTATCAACTCATTCAAACTTAACTCCAGTTAAACACTTTCAATTCAATTCAACTCGATTAAATTACTCACTTAAACTCAACTCCAACTAACAATCACTTAATAAACTCAACTCCAGTTAACCACTTACTTAAACTCAACTCCAGTTAACCACTCTCTTTAATTAACTCAACTCTGGTTAGCTACTCACTTAAACTCAATTTCAGTTATCCACTCACTTAAACTCAACTCCAGTTATCTACTCACTTAAACTCAACTACAGTTAACCAGTCACTTAAACTCAACTATAGTTAACCAGTCACTTAAACTCAACTCCAGTTATCCACTCACTTAAACTCATCTCCAGTTAAACACTCTCTTTAACTCAACTCTGGTTAGCTACTCATTTAAACTCAACGTCAGTTATCCACTCACTTAAACTCGACTCCAGTTAAGATTATATAGATTATAATGATATTGAAATCTTCATTTCATTTTATACAATTTGTTTTAAAGCATCAAGATATTAATTTTGTGAAATAGCTAATAGCCTAGCAAGTTTGTCAAAGTGTAAGAAAGATCGAATTTCGAGCTAAAAACATAATAAATATTTGTGAAATATGCTTTTTTAAATTATCATAACCTGCAAGCTGCAGTTATTCAAAGCGTTACCATGTTTTAGATCTGAAATAAATTTTTACACTTGACCATTTTGTTTGCTTATTTACAAAAATTGATAATTGATATCCAAAGAGAATAGAATATATATTAGAGGGGAATTCACTGGAAAAAGGTGTAAAACGGCGATTTTGTTGATCTGTTTCCATACTGCAAGTGTACTTCACATATTTGCGCTATATAACCTTTCGGGCCCTGGAACATCATTTTATAGAAGATCTAAAATTAATATTAAAGAAAACCAAATTATGAAATAGGCTGGTTTCATAATTGACCAATGATCATTTCACATAGACTCTATGCCTTTCACTGTACAAACGATGATTTTTCGTTATAACTATAAATCAAATGATGTTTTTTATTCACCTAATTCATTATAAAGTTTATTTAAGAGCTTAAAAACATTCGAAATTGAAATGAATAGTCTAGGGAACATACTGTATTAATGTACTCTACTGCATATAATTTGTGAACATTTACATGATTTGTTGCACTTTGAACTCCCTTTCAGGCTGTTCTATCTTTGTTGATATCAGCTTTTAATATTTTCTGTTTATTAGCGTTATAATTATAGCGTTGCAGTCAGGGTTCAACTTAACCTTCACAGAGAAAGAAATCATTAAACAAGTAATATTGCTAAACAGTCTGAATAAGAACAATAAAGTAAAGAAGATACGGAATCCACTCATCCCTTTGTGACATCAAATTAGTACCTTTCATTTCCGATTCACAACGATATCCTTTTAAACCGTTGTCATGATCAAGGATGACACATGCATGAGATATTCTTATTTTTCTTATTAAATATTTCTCAACTTTGGTTTTTCCCTAAACAAGAAATGCGCATTCATGCATAACAATGAAGGGTATTGTAAAACATTTTAGATTAACATGATTCATGAACCATTAAATCGCGAGGAACCTAAAAACCATTGATACAAAATTGAGTCTTTGCGACAAACTCAAATTTTCTAATCCCATATCTTTACAACCTAATGGTATAAACATTAGATATTTCAAAATATTTGATCTAACAGAATTTTGTTAGTTTGAAAAATCTGCATGGTCTTTGAAGTAGGGTTGTAAAGATTTAGGGATTAAAATATTTGAGTTTGTGGCGAAGACTTAATTCTTTTGAAATAATTTTAGAAAATAGTTTCTGTTTTTCTCTTCAGGTTTCAGTCTTAACATAACTCAAAACGATTTTTTTCAGATAAAAAGTGAAAACCATAACTAGATGTTTTTCATGGAGGAGGAGGGAGCAATGAGAAGCTGGGAATGCCTGACAGTCGACTCAATGGGACTGTAAGCGTAATTTTATTTGATTCTCTACAACCGATTTACAACAGTACCCTTGAAACATTAATATGATCCAACTGTGGAAGATAACGTCGTTTTTCTATCTAAAAGAATGTTTATTTCTGTGAAGCAGTTCTCCATCCCAGAGAAACAACATATTATAAATAAATATGCATATCTTATTTAGTATTTATTCCTACTTGATCAGACACCAGACACAGCTCTTAAGAGTACTGTTGTAATTGGGAAATGCCATCTTTTCATGGAGGGGCAGAAGGTCACTTAAAATTACGCTAACAGTCCCTTTAATTCCCAAGTGACCGTTTATTTGAATTGGTGCTATACTAAATATATGTCACGTGATTTATCCTTTACATTTCTTCACTCGAGGAATGGTGAATGTGTTATGTAAGGAAACAAAAAGGAACTTCCCCACAAATATGATGTATACTGCAGTTTCAAGGAACTTCCCCACAAATTGAATTTGTAATGCAGTTTCTGGGAGGCCGGTAAATAAATGTAAATTGTACTGCAGTTTCAAGGAACTTCCACAAATATAATGTGTACTGCAGTTTCAAGGAACTTCCACAAATATGATGTGTACTGCAGTTTCAAGAAACTTCCACAAATATAATGTGTACTGCAGTTTCTGGGAGGAAGGTAAATAAATATAATGTGTACTGCAGTTTCTGGGAGGGACTTCCACAAATATAATGTGTACTGCAGTTTCAAGGAACTTCCATAAATGTAATGTGTACTGCAGTTTCAAGGAACTTCCACAAATATAATGTGTACTGCAGTTTCTGGTTGGAAGGTAAATAAAGCTTAGCTATTGAACCTATGAAGTCTATGAATAAAGAATTTAAAAGAATTTTGGCATTTTATTACCTGATTTAATCATAAAATTGGACACCAAAACATCTAAAAAAAATTGGTAACTAAAGGGAATCCCAGGAAAAACAAAAACAAGGGGTAAAATACTATTTCAAAGAGGCAACTTTAACCTTTATTTGTTTTATGAGAAATCACAGCAAAAATTCATTTATTTATTTATTTATTTATTTAGATAAAGATTAACAATTCAATTAAATATTAAGGTAAATATTTGAGCATTTTGTTTGAAACCTTCTGAAAAAATTCTAAGTTGCTTTCTTTATTTTGGAAAAAATAAATTCGAATTGATTTTTAAGTTTTTTTAATAATTTGCAATCAATGCAAAATGTCTACTTTCTGCATAAATTTTATTTAAGTGGAAATGCATCAAAGAATTTATCTTTCGCAGAGTAGAACAGTAGAGATCAATATTTTGAAATATAATATAACTTTATATACTGAAATCTTTATCATGTAAAATGCACATTTAAAGGAAGTGTTCGCGAAAATGAAATGGGATATATTGTAACAGACTCGGAGCTAAGATGAAACCAGTGTGAGCTCAATAGCTCAGAATAATGATAGTTCCATTGATGAAACCCCATCAGTTCTCATACGAGCCCGGAGCTAAACTCAGATTGGATAGTTATTGATGTAAACCCCTTCAGTCCTCATACGGACCGGAGCTAAGCTCGGATTGAAAGTATATTTTGTATTTAGCTTGGTCGAACAGAAAGTGGAGCAGATGATAAGTTGCCTCGATGTTTAATATGGAGAAATATTTGTTCATTAGAAAATGCCAACCCAGAAAACATTCATTCAACACATGGTTGAAAACCAAAGCCAACGTTGCCCCTAAGTCTTTTTTAAATTCAAGCCAATGGACATGAGCCACGGCTTGAAAGGAAAGAATAGGATTGGCCTGGGCTATAGCAGAAATGGAGTCAGTTATGAGCTAGGGTCGGAAGACGGAAGATTAACTAATCGTATTAGGCGAATGAAAGGCGGAGAGTCTGTCAGAGGGCTACGACTTTCCATGATTCATTAGTATCACTTTATTTGCATTTTTTACGTGTAATTACATTTTTTCCTATACTCTGTAGATTTACTCACATCAGTTTCAGGCTTTAGATTTTATTTATTTCATAAAACTTTTAAATATTAACAATATGATTGAATTCGTCTTTGATCGCAACTAGTTCTATTTCTATCTTTTCAGTTAATAGTAAGATAATGGATATACCCAAGAGTTTAGAACCCTAATTCAATTTGGGGCATTCATTGAATGCCCCTAATTATGGTTTCCAATGCGCAATTGAACAATAATAGCATAAAACTTTAACTGTATAGCTGTCTAACTTATTTGTTCAAATTTAAAATTTATCTTGTTGAATGCCACAAATATTGGTAAATGGTAGAACAAAAAAAACTATTTTCCTGTTTTTTTTATAATTGTCATTGATATCAGATGAATAATACAAATGTTGCGCATCATTTCGCTAAAACTTGCTTCATGTGTAGTCATGGCTATGCAGTATGCATTTTCTCAAAGACTTGTTTTTTTCTAAATAGCTTAAAAACATATATTTGTTACAAGTATCAAAGGCAATTTTGAACTAAGTTTTATCAAACTTTTCTGGAATTGAATAAAACGATATTGCGCATTGAAACCCTAAGTTTATATATGTATGCTCTTGGTATTGGGATTTTGCTTGGAAGGGACTCCTAGCTGCAAAAAAACTATCGTTTAAAGTACATTGTACATAAACAAAAAAGATAATATCTATTTATGTCATTGTAATGGGTATTATTAAGTGCGAAAACTTTTTCGCACGTATGATACCCATTTCAATAACATATTTAGTTTTATTCAGTTTTACTCAAATTATTTAAAAGCAATTCGATAAAATTACTTAATCACCCTGTTGTGGGGTGATTAAGTAACTTTATCGACCTACAATGAGACAAATTAGGTATGAAATTTTAAATTCAATAGCAGGGTGAAAAAGTTACTTTTTCGTCCTGTTGTAGGGCGATAAAGTCACTTAAACACCCTACAACGGGAAATATTAGGTGTGATAAATTCCATCAAAATTGAATTAAGATATTTAAACTACAATTATGCCCCCAATTTGTAGCGATCAAACCCGAATTCAATTCGAATTTAGCATATTTCGCGAACACTTAGTTTAAATTAATAATAGAGCATACTTGCTGACACAATCGAGGAAGATTTATACAATACTGTTTTAATAACTGCCATATGTAAATATAAAATACTGCTAAATTAAATATGTTTTTAATACGATGCGGAAAATATATTTTACATGTTGTCGATAGTTGGGATAAAAAGCACCATGGGGGGCAAAAGTAAAACTTTCAATATTGGCAAAATTCAATATTAAGGCTGTATACAATATTATTCAAATGATTGAACATTTAAATCAAATATTTAATGACAATAATTTTGGATTAAAAGTTGGATATCCATTTTCTATGAAATTCATTTATTATTTTTAATTTTACTTTCTGTTCAGAAAATTTCATATTTATTCCGGATTTTGTCAAAAAGATTAAGAAACTTCCAATCCTCGACATTGAAACACCTATTTCTGGTCATTTTTGTATAGCAAAATACTGCACTGAGTGAACTGTACTGCAAATACTTCACTGTACTGCAAAATACTGCAATGTACAGCAAAATTCTGCACTGTACTGCAAAATACTGAACTGTACTGCAAAATACTGAACTGTACTGCAAAATACTGCACTGTACTTCAAAATACTGCAATGTACAGCAAAATTCTGCACTGTACTGCAAAATACTGAACTGTACTGCAAAATACTGCACTGTACTTCAAAATACTGCACTGTACTGCAAAATACTGCACTGTACTGCACTGTACCGCGAAGTGTTTTAAAGTGCCCTGTGCGTAAAGTATAATTCTACTACTGTACTACAAAGTACTTTATGCTGTAGTAAGCTGTACTACAAAGTACTTTATGCTGTAGTATAGCTGTACTACTAAGTACTATGCTGTAGTAAGCCGTAATACAAAGTACTTTATGCTGTAGTAAGTTTTATAAGTATACTAACAGTACCAAACTGTATTATATTGTACAGCAAATCAAAGTGATATTATGTACTGCCGAGTACTGTACTGTACTGCAAGCTATGTTTTCTTCCTTCTCCATCTTCTTCTATGCTGAACAGAAGATTCTGTAGAATCCCCTAGAGTACCCCCGACCTATATTATACCAATAACATCAATTAGTAAACAGTAGATGTACAGGGTGTCCCACGAAACATGAAAGTGGTAAATATTTTTTAATGTCGTCTTCCATACACTGCATATTAGATATTAAAGGCTGTTTGCAGTTCATTTCGTAAAAAATCTTTTGCTCAAATATATTTTACTTTGAAGTTAATTTTACTATAAGTATGACTCCTATATAATATTTCTATTATTATCTTTGGTATTAAACAACTAAACAAATTATGGAAGAAGACATTCTAAACTATTTACAAACTGTCATGTTTCGTGGGACACCCTTTATTAAAACCATAAAGATGAAAAGCATATTTTATCACGACCAATGATTATCCCAATTTTCCACAATGATAAGAAATTTAAAAGCATCTTGGGATAATTAGAGATGGGTATCGTTTTTAAACAATTAAGGTTTTATGACCTTAGAAAAACATCAAGTTAGAAAATTCTATGCACAATTCATGTATTATGAAATGAATATAAATATAAATTTTTAACCTTGAGAAAATTATCACTGTACTGTCGCCTACACTCTGGATTCTCCTAGATATATAAATATATAAATAAATATAAATATATAATTACTAGACTTATAAGGCGCTTCGTACCCTTTTGCTATAGTAACAATTTTTGCTTTTAACTGTTGATTCTCTAGCGCCATGCTTTCTTCGCAAACCTTGAAATAAGTAATTACGCAGCTTTTTTGTTGAAGTTGGTGCATTTTGTGCAACAATGTCGACATTTTTTTTTCAAACTTTGACCTTACACAGCACAGGGAGTAAGGAATAGAAGGGAGATACAAGTGACGCAGTTCGCCCTACTATATGATTATGCATGCTTTGCAGACGGGTACTCCATTTGTATAAGAAATATTCAGAATAGGTTATTGTATACGCGGTAATTGTACATCGGACATATATTTCTTATAGAAATGGAGTACCCGTCTGCAAAGCATGTTTAATCATATGGTAGGGCGAACCGCGTCAGTTGTATCTCCCTTCTATTCCTTACTCCCTGGTCCAGCCTTTTTGACATTTATGTGACACAAGCAAAGTATATGTATATAAAATACTAAGCTTTTAAAGGGCGCTTCGCGCCCATCTTCTATATAAATTGTTAACATGTTCTTTTTGTTTACATTTTAAAACAAAGAAGAAAAAATTTTTTTTTTTTAAATTGCGGATTTTCAAGAATCTCAATTTTTTTACAAAATTAAAAACCTTTAAAACACATTTTTATTTAATTTTTCATCATTCATAAACCTTCCCTGTGGTCACGTGATGTCCCGCCCGATCGGTTCAGCCGTTTTGACTCTTATTGGATACAAACAAACAGACAGACAGACAAGCCAAACTTATATATCTTCTCTCTCTCTCTATTACAACAAAAGTGTTTAAGGGACTGTAAGCACAATCTCTAGTTTAAGGGACTGTAAGCACAATCTCTAGTTTAAGGGACTGTAAGCACAATCTCTAGTGGTCCTCCATGCAAAGATTGCAATGTCTGATTCCAAAAGGAACCCTTGAAACCATTGTCTTATCAAGGATGTGGAAGATATTCACGGGTTTTCAGACTAAATGTGTTTAATTCTGATAACCCCTGTATGTTTTCTGCAACTTGGAAATACGCAATTGTCACTTTCGAAGAGATTGAAAATAATCCTGTAACCCATAGTGTGCAACGTAGAGAATTGCTCATGTCACTTTTGTAGAGAAACCACAATTGAAAATGATCAGTTTTTAATGGGACCAAACTGTGAATATATTTTAATGGGACCAAACTGTGAATATATTTTAATGGGACCAAACTGTGAATATATTTTAATGGGACCACACTGTGAATATATTTTAATGGGACCAAACTGTGAATATATTTTAATGGGACCAAACTGTGAATCGGACATCTTTTCATAAAAGCTCACTTTAAATTACGCGAACAGGATTGCAAATCTAAGGATTGCAAAATCAAAATTAATTCTTATCTTTGATGCATTTATTGTTTAATGTTTATGCAATGTGTGTAAAATGCATTTTCAAAAAGAAAAACATGTTGTAATCTGTAAACATTACTTCAGGTGGTTTGTCCAATCAAAGAGTACCACTGTGGTTTTTCCAATTCACAACGGTACCTGTTTCGCTACTTAGCGATTTCCCTAAAGACCTAATATATGTACCGTGTGGTATTTCTCAGGATTGGATCGTAAGACTCCCTTCTCTCAACGCTCTTCATAATAAAAAGGAAGATAGTAAGGTTCCGAACGTTTATTTCTCTGAGCCTTCAATCTAAACAAGTTTAATAAACCCACAGAAAAAGCTTTGAGTGAAAATCATACAAATATAACAAATAATCCACTCAGGCATTAAAAAACTGTGGCTAGGAACCAACAAACGAATACATAATCATCAATCATACTAGAATCAACCAATAAACATAGATATATATAAAATAATTACCACGGTGATCCCAGAATTCTGAACACGGAAAATACTTGCAAAACGAATAAACATATACTGAATATAAATATAACTACTACTCCGCTAGAAATCTTGCGTCTGCGCAGTCGGACTGTAAACAGTTCCTAAACTAGTTCTTTCACAATACATTCCGTACAGATCTTCAGGGAGAACTCAGAAATACCCAGGGGTGACAAGCAGACTTTCTACACGCAGCATGGCTCGCGTAACAGTACCATTGAAACTTGTATCTGAGTAACAAAGAAGATGATATAACTGTTTTTCTATCTTACACGTGTTTAATTCTGGTCCTTCTGTGTGCATAAATTCGCATGGAAATTTGAAAGAAAACCAAATCTGAAAAAAGGTAATCAGACAAAAGTTGAATGGGTACCCTGGTGAATCTGACATGCCACTGTAAAAAACTCAAAGCTCTGTCAGTGACCACTAAAAACACAAGAGACAAATGTGATTTTGTTTTAGTATTATTTATCTTTATTCAATTATTACTGTCATTGTTCTTCGTCGGATTTTAGCATAATAAATGTTTTTATTAAATGTGAAGGGGTTTGAAATAAAAACCAACACTTCACTTCTCTGACAGGAGATTAAATAATTATCCGAAGATACATAATGAAATCAATGTCACAAAGAATGTTCGAACTACATGGTTAAATATTATCGGAATGTTCGAACTACATGGTTAAATATTATCGGAATGTT